GTGGCAATTGTTTAATATGGGTGAAAGGCAAAGAGTGGATGTAGAGTACCACTCAATATATACTCCTTGTGAGCTTCAGTGGATGGTGTGTTGGCCAAATGAAGAGAGCCTACGTTATTCTGAGGGGAAGATGATGAAGAGTATCGGAGAAGCTGAGGCAGCTAGAAAAAAGAAATATGATTATTGTTTTCCCTTTTGTGTTTGTCAGGTACTCTAACGAAGAATGGAACTTAATTTCACACTTATATAATATTTGACTAAGATCCCTGTAACTATTTTAGGAAGCCAGATTAATTAGTCTCTATGAAGCAGTGTGTTTGATGCTGTCTTTAAATGGCAGTTGCTGCCATTTAGTGCTAGGTTGAGAAAGTTCCCTGTTAAGTTTTTCATTTTAATAGAATGTGCCATACCTGATCTTTTGCTTTGTTAGGATAGGATAGATACAAATGGTTAGATGATAGATGCCAGGAGTAGTGGCATCAGGAGGAGAAGGAATGGGAGACTGGCAGAGGACAGACCATGCTTTGCCCATCTTGATCTTTTGCTTTGTTAGGATAGGATAGATACAAATGGTTAGATGATAGATGCCAGGAGTAGTGGCATCAGGAGGAGAAGGAATGGGAGACTGGCAGAGGACAGACCATGCTTTGCCCATCTTGATCTGATTATTTTTTTTTTACTGATCTTGATATCATTAAAAATACTTGATGGCAAAAGAGAAACGGTGAGCACTACTGGAACTGTTAGTGGCAAGAAGTTATCTAAAACACTAACAGCTGTCCTTCTCAATTCAGGGAATGGCTAACTCTTTTGTGCCTGCACCCCAGACTGAGTGCTGCTCCTAGCCTGCCGCCAGGCCAGCTGACTAGCCCAGTGTTCTCGGGACCTGTTGATGCTTGGGTTGCAGGTAGCTGGGTGCCTCTATTCTTAATTCTTGCTTAAGGTTCCCAAAATGAGCTCTGTACATCCCATTTGAGCTTGCCCCTAGTATTGATTGTTACCATATATGGCATTTGCACTGAGTAGAATATATGATTTCTCCCATATTCGTTCCTTCTCATTCAGTGCGTTTCCATGAAACCCTGGGCCCTTCTCCTCACAACCTGTTGTTAAATGCATTGATTGTTCTGATAGAGCTGCTGTGTGACTACTTTTGTTCATGAATGTTTTCTGTGGTCACCCATGGTTTGACTACTGTTGGTATGCAAGTTACCTTTGCTAACTTCCTTCAGACAAGTGTTTTTTTAAAAAAAAAAAATTACTCAGCAGCTAGTAACTTTTTTCCTCCTCATGATTGGGAATTTGTGGATATAGCAGACAGAGCTTTCCTTTTCTTGGTGAATTGACTCTTATTTCAGAACTTGCCTTTTTCCTGTTTCCCTGCTGCTAATAAAATCTGGTCCAGGGTGACTATTGGATAAAGCTGTTTGCCCAAATAAGATAGCAGAGAAGCCAAGACATCTAACTGTTTCTAAACATTGAGAAGCACAGGAAAATGAATTGAAGCTAAGATTCAGCTTTCGTATACCATTATATGCCCTTTGTAAGAAAAATACTTGCAGAGAATTAGTATTAAATTCACTGAGCTATTCAGAAGTAAATCTTGCTTGTGTATTTCACAAGAGTTTGCTAGATAACGTGTATTGCTTACCTTGTTATAAAATATGGAATCACTGATCCATAGAGAACAAGTTGTTAATCTAACTATTCAATTACTGCTTGCAAGTCTTCAAAATTAAGACACTGAAACAAAGGACAATGTTTTGCCTTCTCTATTGCACAAGATAGTGCAGTAGACTGTTTCCATGCAGTACGTTAATCTTACTGTATTTAGTTTTATACTTCATGAAGCAAATAATCCAAAGTGAATAATGCAATTATTAATGTGCAGACCACTGAGCGTATGCATTAAAAAATGTTAGTCATAACACTGTTGAACTTACTCAGTACTTTAGAATTACAATTTAGATCCATTTCTTTCGAATTTCTTGACTAACAGTACAGGACCTGATGTCTGGTTTAAAACTACTAATAAAAATAATTTGAAAGATCCTTAATGCTGCCTTGGGGGGGGAGTTTAAAAGTTAAAATTTATCTGGAAAAAAGTCTTGCATCTTTTTTTGCTTGATTCATGAAAAGCTGAAACATTTAAGAGCAAAATCCTTGCTTCCTGATGAACCAGAGGAGTGGGCTGTTGACAAATGTCAGACGCCCTGGTCCAAGCTAGGATGTTCTTAGGTATGCATTTGTTTTGGCCTGCCTCCTTAGCTATGTTGCTGCTGTTCAAATAAAGTACCACCTATCAGTCACTTAAGTACATCCTTACCTTGACTCATTAATAGGTTTTGCTGTATGAAGATCAGAATGCTCTGTACCCTGCAGGATCAAGTCCTCGGTGGAATACGCTCTGGATCTATTATTTTTATTTAGTGCTGAGGTACAGTGATATGGAGACTGTCATCTTAGCCATTGTCATGTAAGAAAACTTCAGCTTGCCTGGAATAGATGACGGGGTTTACTTTAGATTAAAAAAAATAATAATAAAAAAGCCCTGCAGGTTCAGGGCCACAAAAGGAGGATGTCCTGCAGAAGGCAGGAGCTTTGTGCTGTCCCAGGGAAAATATTTTTTTTCCACAGACCCAACAGTATAAGAATATTTAATAAATACTGTAGCTGAGCTTGAGTTAAAATATGACGTTTTCTTGAGCACTTCAGAAACTGTGTTCAATAAAAATACACATAATATTTAAATTCTTAAAAAAGATAACCATGGTTTACTGAGCAAAAGCTTCCAGACTCGTTGGTCTTCCCCACCTGCATGGAGGAAAAGCACAAGAGGTCTTTGTGCAGGCGAGAGTAGATCAGTTTAGCTGTCACATAAGAGGAAGATAGTTGCTTCTGCTTTTTAGAGAACAAGCACAGATTGTGCAGCCTCCACTGTTGTAGTACATTGTTCATGAATTCAAGTCCAAGGGCATCTAAAAGACTTTTCTTATATCAGTTGGGAAGTTAATCATGGTTATATGAACAAATGAGATACTGTGTCATTCTTTGACTGCTGGGATAGTGTTTTCTGTCTTGTATACAACGTACTCATGCAACTGAGATCGTTCATGTCATGTAATAACTAATATAAAAACTAGAGTAACTATAGTTTTAACTTGCACCTCTATTATTTTGGAGCTGTACTGTTCGTATGCAAAGATTTTTGTCTTTGAACTGATTTTTTTGACTGAGGAAAAAATGTAAAGTTGACCCTTTTTACACAGTAGGTTTTCCCCTATTTTAAACTTTTAGGCATATTCTCTATTTGGACTCTGCCTGCTGCTCTAATATCTTTGTTTTTCATGAATTATCACTAGGGTTTTTTGTCTCTGTTTCTAGAAAGCAACAGTATGGAATTCAATGCTGGGACAAAAATAATTTTTATGTCACTTGGATTAGTTTTGAAGTTAAGCAAGCATTAATGCTTAACCTCTGGAAAAACATTAATTCTTAGGTAGATTGTGTTTCTATTTATAAACGCTTTTAAGTCTTTAATTGCTAGACACAGTTCTGAGTGTCTAAAATCGGTTACTAACAGTAGGTTTAGATGTTGCTTGAAAGAAAATGTATTTTGTTTGCAGTATCCATCTGCTTATTACATTTCAGCACTGAACAGGAAGCTTTATTTCCTGCCTCGGAATACTTTGTTTCCTTTGTCTCTACAATGAGAGAAAAAAAATAACAGGAGTACTCCTCCTGACCAGTGAAAACTTCTCATTTTTCTAAGTAGGGTTTTGTGATAAATGAACCTTAGTACTATATTGCTAATGAAGACAGGAATTGTAATTTTAAGATCATCTTATTACAATGAATGTTACAGGGAATGTGTTGTAGTCCATCATGCAGTATATAAATGTAATTTTAACTGCATAGCTAAATGTTTTAGAGGCTGAAGACTGTATGCATGAAAGCAGTGGTTGTAACTAAATTATTATATAGCCTTATCTTCCACTTCAAGTTGTGATTTTATTTTTGAAATAAAATTTCATTCTGAGAGTTGGCTTAATCAAGCTTGTTTATTTTCAAAGACGGCCAACTTCAAGGATATGGGTGGGGATCACGTGCTGCTGCTTAAGAATGTGGTTTTCTTGGTGATTTAGCAGATAGCTCAACGGAATCAGGAAATCTTCCAGACTGTTCATATTTGTTTTTCAGTGTCTGACAGTATTTTTTGCTTTTTTTGTTGTTGCCAGCAATCACAAGCAACTACTTTTGCTGTATGTCAAAGAAGTAGAAGCCCAGATGAATTACACTTTTGTTTTACAGATACGAACTTGCTGTGAATTTTGCTGTAATTATAGATGACTTGAAGAGCTTTTGAGTCATCAGTCACTCAGAAAGCAACTCTCAAGGCCACTAGCCTTACTTTCATGACTTCTGTGTTTAGTGTAAATGTACTTACTGTGTATTAGTTTATAAGTCGTCTTTTTTGAGGAAGAGTTCATGTATACAAAGAGGCACTACATACATAGTTTCATGCTCATGCATCCTATGAAGATGGAAAATTTTCACCATTCATTTATATTCATTTTGTAAATTGTTTTAAAGTAGAGATTGCAAGCTTTGAATTGCCGAGGAATGCATGAACCATCACAACACTTGTGAAACCTTTGGTGAATGACATGACATATAGGGTAATTTTTGTATTGGTTTAATATTTGCCAAGACGGTCCTTTTTACTGGGTGTCCAATGTTACAAGCAGTACACACATTTTAAAGAAATAACACTCAAAACAGGTATGCTGCAAATGGCAGATTAGCAAATTAGTCCTAAGTCTTAAAAGGCTTGCTGCAGTCAGTTGGAAGTAATGTTTTAGCAGCTGTGTTGCAAGGAGAGGGAGGATAGGATGGCACAAAGTTTAATGCTGTGGTATCGTACTTTAACTAAAATTAATTGTGTTTATGACTGGTTTTTTGTGTTGGTTTGTTTGTTTGTTTTAATTTGCTGTAGTCGTGACATGGAGAATAAAGAAACCCTCAGGGGGTTGCAGAAGATGGATGACCGCCCAGAAGAGCGCATGATCAGGGAGAAACTCAAGGCAACGTGTATGCCAGCCTGGAAGCATGAATGGCTGGAAAGAAGAAGCAGGAGAGGCCCTGTGGTAAGTGGCACTGATGAAAGGGCACTATCTGTAGCAGCTATTACAAATAAAAATCCCTTAAATTTCTTTCTGTCAGAAAGCTGTTTCTCTTAACAGTTTGCATACTCTTAATTATGGTCCTCCAGTTCATTTTTTTATGAGCTGTTTAACAGGAAACTGTGGCTGACTTTCTGAAATGTACATATTTATTAAGTCTTATTTTTAAGAAAAAGGCAGATAGCTGTACTGCTGCATTGTGTAGTATAAAATAATACTGTGACAACACTGCCCTCTAATGTCAACAACAAAAGTAGCTCCTGTTAATTAGGTGAAAACTTGAGTGCAAAACTGCACTATAGTGCTTTGTACTCCCTTGATTCTTAGGGGTTTCATGACTTTGCTTTTGTTTAGTTTGAAAATGTTGAAGTTTTTTCTATGTATTGTAACAGAAGTGTATGGAATTTTTGCTAGATGAAAAAACAAACTGCAATCTTACTAGAACCAAAAAAACCCAAAGCTGAGTAACTCCTTCACACGAGTCTCAACTTTGTTAAACCCTGGATGCCAGACTACTCTATTAGCCTTTTGGGTAATGCTTATCTATAAATGGCTTGGAAGCAGTTTTAAGAAACTGCGGACAGATCAAACCTGAAACTTACTAAGCAAACCTACAATTCTATTCAGTATAATGCTGGTCAATTAATAGCCATTAGTTACCTATAGGTGTAGTTGCACTGATCGATGTGACTCCCATTTACCACTTGATGGGAGTGCTAATTTAAAGCTAAGATCATCTGATGCAGTAAACAAGTGTTTGGGGACAGCTTTTCTAGAGCAGAAATGTTCTAGCAGAATGTCTAGAGAAGAAAGGTTCTGTTGTAACTTTCTGTCATGAGAAAGAGCATTGAAAATGCTTACAAGTGCACCAAAAAAAGCAATACCTCAATGGGTCAAATAACACAAAACAATTCTTACTTTAAAAATCTTTAAATGCATCTTGGTTACTGCATAGCTTGAAATTGTTTCCCTGGTCAGACCACTTCCCTTGAGGTTTCTGGGTTTTTTAGTACAACTTTTAATGCTCCAGATTCTCAATTACTACCATTTTACATTTCAAATGCTTGCAGACACTAGCAACTGGTAACTGTAACTTGTCCGAAGGCAAATTAATTTGCATTCTGACCTTCCAGGAAAGAAAAAGCATTACAGTAATTGGTAGGATTTTAAAAAAAGCTGCACTGCTTTTTATACTTCTTCTGTATTCTATTCAATTTCATAATCAGATAGCAGTATATTTAATAACAATAGCAACAAAGGTTTCTGAAAAGCTCAGGTTTGCAATACATTAAATATGGTGGCTTCTTAAAGCAAAATGAGCAGTGCTTGGATCACAAGTGTAAATGCAGGTTTTCTGTTTAGGCAGTGCCTAGCTGCTAGACCACAACCTCCTTATTGTCTTTTTCTCCCTGTAGCCTGCTGAAACTGAAATGCCTTTCTGGATAGTGGCATAGCTTCAGCTGGATGAGTTAAATGCTTCAAGTTAAAATAGCATTAGACCTTGTGGATGCAGTCCAAATCATCAGGTAGAAAGGCACTGAGTCTGGATGTCTCTTCGTCCCCATGCCCTGAGTGGGGAAAGCCCCTTCCATTTTTTGCCTGAATCAAAGCGACTGCTGGAACTTTTTTTAGAGAGGTCTGCTCTGTTAATCTGAAGTGTTACTTTGGACCTTCCTTCCGGCTTTGAGTCAAGCCTCTAAGACATGGAGAAATGTAGAACTAAAACTGAATCTGCCTGCTGTGACTGCTTTTAATTCGATTCCCGGGGCCTTACTCTTCTCATGCATTATGTTGGTCTGAGAGGCAGGCAGCTGAAAGCTGTCTCGAAATACTCCGTACCTCGGTGTCAAAATTTAGTGTTCATGCAACAAAGCACTGTATTAGGAGCGTATGTACTCATTCTGCTGGAGCATATGTGTCTGTTCATGTAGTGCAGCACTGTGCACAGCGATTAGCTCAGATACCAGATGTGGTGTAGTTGTTTTACTTGTATGGCAGGCAGAAAACCTGGGTGTGGTTCTTACAGGGTGCAGCGCACCTTAATTTTGCTGCATTGCCTCCAGGTTTAAAGTAATTTTTACTTTGCAACAAGTGTTGTGCTGTACAATATCAACCCTATTATTTCTCAACTGATACTTACTGTATATTACTGTATATAACAGATGGATCCAACATTATAGCTCTTAATTAGCGGACAATGCCTGTAGAAAAAAATCCTTCTGGTTTCTACTATCCAAATGGGGGAACTGCTGTCCTTTGAGATATCATGCATGACAATTACAGAGCTACTTCAAGAATCAAATCAGTTGCTTCTGCAACTAACATAAGTGGCACAAACGGGCAGGAAAAAAGGTTCTTGCTTTTGTGTTGCGTATACATTAAGAAGGTAACCCCCTATTAGATTGTTAATATTAGAACCTAGCGAATGTGCAAACTTCGGATGTCTGGATGATGGCTTAATTATATAATGCTAGCGAAACAAGTTTTGATGAATTTGTTTTGCTTTAGTGCAAAATGATTAATTTGTAATTCTAACACATGGTTTAATTCCTGCAAGGTGGTGAAACCTATCCCTGGGAAAGGAGATGGGTCAGAAATGAACAAACTCTCTCTAGAACCTCAAGCTGAAGGACAAAGCACTGCTTCTTCACCTACACAGAAAGGAAGACGTAGTCCTTCTCCTAGTAGCTCCTCTTCATCATCTTCTAGGACGGTTAAATCTGAGTCACCAGGTGTTAGAAGAAAAAGAATATCTCCAGTGCCTGTGAGTTGCAAGCTGTGATGTAATTTTTAATTTGGCTATATTCTGTAATCTTTTGCTTATAGAGGCAATTAATTGTCCCTGCGTAGGGCAAGATGCTGATACAAAGGGGTTATGACAGGGTATCACTTGAGTGAGATATGCAGAGCGTATCTCATGTTATGTTCTCATGTGTGGAATTTTGTTCTCTACTCTGATGTGTGTATTTTCTTTTTAATTTAGTCCTGCTTTTGATATTTAATTCTAGGAAATAAATGAAGAAATACAGATACTCAGTTGTGAAGACATGTATATTCTCTTAGCTTGATTTGCATGAAGAGATGCTAGTAGTTTGGGTTTTTTCGTATAGTTTTGCATGTCAATTCTCCAGGCAGGTATATTCCATCGGGGATAGGATTGTTGGCTGGATTAAGATTCCTGCAGAGAAGTGTTACTGGTATGCTATTTATGATCCTCTATTCCAGAACGGATCTTTATGTACAGATTAGGGAAGATTTAGGTATGTGCATTGTTAGAACTAAACTCTATCATTACATTTGAGAAGATCTGGAATAGAACCTTTTGAGCAATAGTAACTGGCTTCATTGAAGAAGGTCAAGAGTATAATGTTTTGAGCAATAGTATCTAACAGGTTTGCTTGTTATAAAAGTGCTTATCCATAATTAAGCTTCAGTTGACTTGTCTACAACTTCACAGTACAATTAGAGTAAGAATAAGACCTAATTGCTTTTATTATCCCGTTGCTCTAAACAAGGTTTCCAAAATCAATTAAAATATGTACTACCATTCCTCTGAACTAGGGATGAATGTCACAAGTTACAGCACTGCAGCACAGCTCCTTTCCTCTTGACAAGAAAAATTGAAAGGTTAAAAAAAAAAAACAAACCAAACAACCAAAACCACAACAACCTACCAAATTATCTAATTTAGCCTTTGATCCCTTTTCACTTGATTTGTTTTTCTTTGTTTTACATTAACCTTTCACATGAAAAACCTTAGAAGTTAAGGCTTTTACTTAACTGATGGACAGTGAGTCAATTAGAACCTGCATCATAACATAAAATTCAAAGTGGATATAAATCAAAGCAGAAGATTTAAAATTCAACAGAGCCATTAATGCATCTCATAATGTTAGAAATGTGAAGAATTTAAATGAAGACAATTTTAATAAAAGGTTTGGGCCATAGAAGCTTTGATCATGGGGAAACAAAACAAAAAAACTCATCCTGAGCTGAAAGTGGCTTTAATTGTGCAAAGGAGAGAAAGCTGTATCCTTTCTCTGTTTCTTTGGAATTTCTTAAGCTTTTGTTCTTCATTGACCATATATTCCCTTTTGTAAACTGTAGTCATAAGATTTCTTAATTCATGATATATATTAGCGTTACAACCTTATATCATAATTTCCTGTATTGAGTCACAAGTCTATGATCATCTTCCGATTGAATTATACTTGCTAATTCAGTAGTAATATGGTAAGGCAACCAATGAAGACTTGAAAATGGACACAATTTAAGAGATTCCTGTTTTTGTTGTAATGTCAGACAAAATTTCGGTTACAAAATTTCAGTTTTTCCTGCCCTTGAGTTCTGGGCATGGAAGAAAAGTAATCCTTTTAAAACCATGTAGTCTAAGCAGGTTGTAGTAGTTTTAGGTTTCAGGAACTCTCTTATTCTATGTCGTGGGGGGGCGGGGAATAAGGCCTAATTAAACTTACTGTTGTCCTCAAAATGCATATGATGGAACTGCTTATGTAGTTTCAGAGTGGACGAATAACACCACCTCGACGAGCCCCATCTCCAGATGGCTTCTCTCCGTACAGCCCTGAGGAAACAAATCGTCGTGTCAACAAAGTTATGCGAGCCAGGCTGTACTTGCTGCAGCAGATAGGACCCAACTCTTTCTTAATTGGAGGAGACAGCCCTGATAATAAATACAGAGTGTTTATTGGGCCTCAGGTAGAGAAAGTTTTTGTGTTGTCTGTAGCTTTTATTAATTTATAGTTAATCTTGGAAAACTGTTCACAACCAAATTAGATCAAGTTAGTTGCCAACCCATGATAGCAGTTCTATGAAGTAATGTTTAGAAGTTGTAATCTGTGCTCATGCAATATACTCATCAGCTTGTATTTTGTCAAATCTGTAGCAAGCATATTAGTTTTGTCTAAAGTTTCTCTTAAAAAAAAAAAAAGACTCTAGTTTGGAAGTAATGACTATCGTGCTGTTTGTTTCTCATTCATAAAAGTGGCTCCAAATTATATATCTTAAGTATTTTTGGCTAAAATTTGGCCACTTCATTTTCCTAGTTTCTCACCTTGAAACACCTTATTTCCTCTATTCATGGGATATATATAAATGACAAGCACATGACATAATTCCTTTAATGGTGTGATAACTTCATTAATACCCATAGTGAGGTCCTTTTCGTAGACTGATAGTACTAATGTGATGCTGTGTTGGGAGCATCTAGGCTTTTGAGTAAACAGAAGCATCTCATTTAAGTTTGCTGTCAAGTTATGGATATACGATGATTATATGTATAAATGCCTTCTAGTATGAAGTGTAGCAATAGCTTCAGTTGATTTAAAAAAATGAAAAAAGAGAGGGGGGAAAAAAAGTCAGTTAAAAACTGGTGTAATGATTGTCTGCTTTTCCATATATATTCTTGAATAATATTTTGGGAATTCACATTTTCTGTAAGGCCATGTGAGAAGGTATTTATGCCTATATATGAAATATTTTGCATAAACTACTTTAGGGGGCAGGAGGGGAATAGTATGTGTTCTATGATGCACTTAAATGTGGAAAAATTATCTATGTAATTATGAATTCAGTAGAGCCTTAGCATATACTTTTCTTTTCAGACTTGTAGCTGTGGCCGTGGGACATTTTGTATTCATCTGCTGTTTGTTATGCTGCGGGTGTTCCAGCTTGAACCCTCAGACCCAATGCTCTGGAGAAAGACACTGAAGAACTTTGAGGTAATCTATTTTTACTAGATCTAATAGATCTAATGGCAGACCTAAAATACATTCCAGGTAAAAGTCTTTAGGACATTATCTTAAAAATGTGGAAAACTGTTGCTTTTCAAAGCAACAAAAATACATGTTTTTAATTATATCTTTAATTCGGTCTCAACAGCTCTGTAAGTAGAAAAGAAATATCTGCAAATAGAAGATATAACTAAAAGAATAGTAGACAGCTGTAGTTTAGTGAGTGATTCAAATCTTATACAAATTTTAGTAGAAAATCTATCTGTCTCACTGATTAGCTGACAGGTAAACAGAACTAGGGTCTTCAGAATTGTGTGTATACTCAAAGCTGTTGTTTATTTTTAATAAGCAAATAAGTTTTTGTTGTAAAGTGTTTCTTGTGATCTGTTTATTAGTAAGACTTCTGAAATTGCTGCTGCTGCTACTGCTGATGCATTATTGTGAAGGTGACTAGATCTTTTTTTAGCAGTAGTTAGGCTTCCGTAATATTACTTTTAATTAAAGCTATTCATAGCATAAATACGACTGTTGCTATCTTTTTCTGATGTTAGGTTGAGAGTTTGTTCCAGAAATATCACAGTAGGCGTAGCTCGAGGATCAAAGCTCCATCTCGTAACACCATACAGAAGTTTGTCTCACGCATGTCAAATTCTCATACATTGTCATCATCTAGTACTTCTACATCTAGTTCAGAAAACAGGTTAGTATTTTTCTAAAGGAATTAAAAGCTTTATTCTGTAGTTTTTTTCTAATTTTGGAGGTCTAGAATCACCTACATTCTTTTTGTTCAAAGCTGCTTTCATTTCAAGCCACGTTAAGTCTCTGTATTTGTAAACAATCAAGTCAAGCATGCATTAGTCACCGTGGTACCAAGTTGGCATATTTGCTTTATAACTTCTGTTTGAAAAATGTTAAGTGAGTTGTGAAAAGAATTTTTTTATCCTTTATGAATTTGGGAAACAAACTTTTGAAATGTAAGTGCAAGACTGAAGCATATATTAACTTTGGAAACCTATTGTGTGTGCATTTGTTCAAATACAGCACTTGTGCAAATGTTGACAAATGAAGAAACATGATTTTTCGTTTTTTCTTGTCCTGCTTTGGAGAAATGCTTGTGTCTATGACAATACACTGAAAAATTTTTGGGTAAATGCACTCTGTGTAAACATATATTAAAAAAAATACATAAAAACATAAGCAAGCACATATTTTAAAAAAACAACTTCATGTAAAATGGGAGATTTAATTATTTTCAGGGAGCTATTAAACTATTACAATTTTTCTAGTTCATACAATATTAAACAATGCCTTATTTATCAATTTTAAGTGATGTTTCATTCCTTGATCATCCCCGCCCCCCCGCCAACCGGACTTGTCCTACTTGAGTGCTTTTGCGTGTTGTTTTCCTTGATTTTGGAAAGATATTTGTTAATTTTTTAAACAAATGATTTCTGCGTGTATTAGTTAGTGGGTGACCTAGACCTCTAGAGAGGTCAAACCACAGAAGGCAACCTAAACTGAGGCTTTCTTTTTTGTAAAGTGAAACCTAACTTAAGGAGTACCTTGATATGTTTCTTTGTGATAATAAGCATGTAGTTAGATGAATATATTCAGACAGGTTTGTAATTCTGATGTACAGATTGTGACCTTAATTTCCCATTATCTTCTACTTATTTTTCCAAATTGTGTCACTGTAAATAAATTGCATAAACAAAGCAGTTAAATACGTAATCTACTCTGGAACTACTTATCTGGCAAGCCCAGTTCCTTTGAGGATACTTTGTGTAGGAAAATATTTCTTTTCATAGAATTGGCTTCACTGGATTGTGAACTTCACTGCATTAGTTCTCATTTTTTACAGGATGAAAGATTTTTCAGTTGTTTGCCAGTACACCTGATGATTAGTTCCTAGCTTTACTGGTTCAGTGAGATATGTTGCTGTTTTGCGCAAGTCTAATCTTGCGTGATCTAAGTATTGGAGAACACTGAGCATCAGATTCATTTGAGATAAAAGTTTACTCAGTTCTGATAATTACTGTGACTTGCAGGTTATTCTTGGTTTACTACTCGTTCTTCAAAAATAAGTTTTAAATTAATACTTACATTTCTGTATGTGCTGTGGAAATGAATTTTTCACTGTAAGCTTATGTTTGTGGATTTTTCGAGGAGAAAAAAAGTGTCAACCATTTGCAAGGAAACAAGTGAATGTATGTGTATAGAAATAATGTATATACAAATTTTATTTTAAAAATATATTGTTGGTGAAAAAATACAGGGTTCCTGCAAACTTTTAGATGCACACCAATTATAACTTAAATTTTTGCTATGAATAGTAAGAGTTTTGCACATCTAAAGAATATTACAGAAGATTAAAATCTGTGGTTTTCACTGTGTGTTGTTTAAGTTCAGAATAATTTTTCTGGCAAAATCACTGGTTATATGCATTTAAAAGTTAAGGTGGGGGTAAATAAAATGGAAGCAACATGTAAAACGGAAAATGTTTTTTTAAAAAAAATCTACATGTGACATGTAGGTATGTTATTGTTCATGTGAATCTATTGCATCTATTTCTGTTAGTGGCAGAAAATTAAGTGGCTGTTCTCTTCTGTTAATTTGAGTTTTACATATGTTCATCAAATAGTATTTATACCGTATGAGTCACTACTCTGAAAGGAGTGTGATGGAGGAAATGTGGGTAGCTTTCAAAATATAAAAATTTCTTAGTTTTTCAAAACCAAATGGTAAGTGAAAATGCAAAGGTTGGTTTGTTTAAAGAAGCCTTAGAGAAAAAAAAGTAAGTGCCCAAGGCTGGGCCTTTCAATCTCTAATTGGTATCTGACCTAGTTTGAAAAGATGTCATGCGTTTTGTGACTTTGCCTTTCATTTCAACAAAGTGTTGTCTGTACTGAGTGCTTCTGAAAATTTGTTTGCTTACTTATTCAGACCAAAGTTTAGGAGAATGATTCATGAATAGCCTATAGTTATTTGGAAGTGACTGGTCCAAACTGGAAGTTAATCTTTTTTAACTGTTAAAGCCTGTTCTGAATTATGATATGCCACTTTTACAATCACAAATATCTATTTTTATAGTATGAAGGATGAAGAAGAACAGATGTGCCCCATTTGTTTGTTAGGCATGCTGGATGAAGAGAGCCTAACTGTGTGTGAGGATGGCTGCAGGAACAAACTACACCACCACTGCATGTCAATATGTATGTTGTCATCTTTGTCTTGTTAAGTTCTGGTGTCTCTAAATATGCAACAGTAGTATAACTTAGTGTGTTTTCATTGGGGTTTTTTGATTGGTTTAAAGGTAGAAAACCCAGAAACCTGCTCTTAAGTGATAACTGGTAGCTCTTTGTGAGAGTTTGGTATCATTCAGGTACTATCGATATGCCTTATTTTATCAGTTATTCACAAACCAAGTTTGTAATTTGATGCTTTGAGAAAGAAGTTAACTGCAGGGCTAGAGGTTTGAGCCTCTTTACCTGAGTGAAAAGATTATGTCCAATGAGAGCAAGGTTAGGAACAGACTTTTAGGCCCTTGTGACTTGTCATTAGAATGCATGAAAGTCATCTACTATCAGCTAGGATTATATAGTGAATTACAGAGTATGCTTATGTACTACATTTAATAAAGTATATAAATAGAATTTTATTTGTTAAAGCAAACTAACTATCTCCTGTGTTTTAATACTTTTGAAAAAGTATTTCCTATGTTTGAGGTACAAAAGGAACTGCATTTCAGTTTATAACTTTTAATATTAATTGTAATGCTAAACTGAAGCATTTCTGCATGCAAAAAAAATGTTTAAATGCCCATATTTATCGGGCTGCTGCAAGTGACCCAGTTCAGAAGCATTTATTGTGAAACTAACATTCTTCAGTAAAACTTAAAAATAGTACTGCCGTCTTCTGGTTTCATGTACTGTAAAACTGAAGTACATATTATCCTGTTGCTGTGTTCCAGGGGCAGAAGAATGCAGAAGAAACAGAGAGCCACTTATCTGTCCTCTTTGTAGATCTAAATGGAGATCTCATGATTTCTATAGGTAAGGATTCAGTCTGTGTATAATGCACTATCAGTTTCTGGATCCTTAGTTGATGTTCCTAAATATGCTAAGTATTTACTTCAGTAAATGTTTCACTCGTTAATCCATGTTATTTGTTGTTAATCTGTAGTCATGAATTGTTAAGCCCTGTGGATTCTTCTGTTCTCCGTGTGGTTCAGCAACAAACTCAGCAGCAATCTACAGCTGCATCACAGAGAAGAACCCAAGAGAGCAATTTTAACCTTACTCATTATGGGGTCCAGCAGATCCCTTCTGCCTATAAAGATTTAGCTGAGCCATGGATTCAGGTAATTTTACTTTGTAAAAGAAGCTTCAAATGTAAAAACTGATTTTTGAACTGTTTTGCTAGGTTTGTCAGATCAACAATGCAAAAATTTATTCTGAATCCCATCAGCTTTATGATTGATTGTTATTGGAAAGGTTTATATTGAACTTGCATCAGAAGAGGTTTTCCAGTCTTGTTTTAACTGGGGTTTCAGTTTCAGACTTCATCTCAGGCCTCATATTAAAGGTCCATGTAATAAAATGTAGTATTCTTAACTCTAGTTTTTGTTGTGCAAGTGTCACATAAGTACAAAGTTGCCACTTATTGTTACCTAAGTTGTGTTGCAGGAGCCGAATGACCTAAATAACCTCTAGAGGCTAGAGGTGGGTTCAACTGAGCAGTGGTCACACTTAAAAGTGGGAGAACTTCTATTGCTTATATTTCTTCTGTAATTTTTGTCTGATATAGCCCCACCTTGGTTGCAGGGTTGTTTATATCAATGTCTAGAAACAAACTCCATACTGAATAATTAAAATTCAAAGTCAATGAGACCATCCATACAGTTATCCTCCCACTTCTCTTAACAGATTTTTTTGGGGGGAACTGATGACTTATCATTTATGATGTTTCATTTCTATCACAGAATCTTTTTTTTTGTACTTTCTGACACATTTTTGCTGTCAGACTTCTTAAGGTGATTTTTCACCAGAAACATTTCTTTGCTCTTTTTGATTGCCCTTCTTAGGTACTTCAGTTGCAATATTATTCAGTTTAACCCTGTAACATTGCTTTTTCCTTGGCAGGTATTTGGAATGGAGTTAGTTGGCTGCGAAAGCACTGGAAATTCTGGAAGTAGCAATGGAAACAACACAAGTGCTGGAGCTTTGGGAGCAGTTAGTGGGTCATCTCAGACCAGTATCTCAGGAGATGTGGTGGTGGAATCCTGCTGCAGTGTGCTGTCCATGGTCTGTGCTGACCCTGTCTACAAAGTGTATGTTGCTGCTTTAGTAAGTAGTTGTTTATTTGTTGTATTCTAGTAATTTTGAAGTTACTTCATTTTTGAAGGGGAGGGAAAGGGAGGAGATACATGAAGTGAGGAATCCTGATAACTGTTGTTGAGCACTACTGATGACCTAACCATCATCTGAAAGCATGATGAACAAAATCCTCAGCAAGTGTGAAATGGCATGACTCCACTGGCCAAATATAAGGAAATGCTTGCTACAGTGCTAAGTATTAACGGTACTTGTATGACTAGGTTCTTTGCAATCTCAAAGAATACATGAGTAATTCTAACAGTGAATATGTAGTAAGCTATTTATCCTTTGAACATTTCACTGATATTTTGAATGCAATTTATATAAAACTATTTACAACTCTTTAAAAAAAAAATTAAAAATTATGTAGCTAACTTGATTTCATATGTATTGCTTTTTTTCCTTTCTCTTAGAAAACTTTAAGAGCCATGCTGGTATATACTCCCTGTCATACTTTGGCAGAGAGGACTAAACTACAGCGACTTCTCAAGCCAGTTGTAGAGACAATATTAGTTAAATGTGCAGATGCCAACAGGTATGGTGTCTCATGAACTTCAAATTCATTTGGGATTGTTACTGAAATGTCTTTAAGCTTCATTTTTTGCTATTAGTGTGGAACTGGGAGACCATTTATAGCTGGTGGTGAAATAAAACGTGTGGATCAGAAGTATAAATACATCATGGTTTTGTTAAAGTCTAATTGCTACCAGCAAACTTCTGGCTTGAAAGATGTAGGTTTTGAAGGCACTTGATTGCATTTTTGCAACATTTACAGATCTTAAATGATACTTTGCTTTCATAAGGCATTCCCCGCCCCCCCTTAAAATAAAGGAAGATGATAGGTGCAGCCATCAACCACCCCCTTCATCTCAGTTGATATTGCTTTGGTCTAATTCTCATGACTCACCTTTAAGCAGTCAGCAAGTACCCTTCAGCAAGTACCAATCATGTACATTTCCTACTTCAACAAAAGCTGTTGTACATCTGTGCCATGAAATGTTAACGTAACACTTTATGCTCTTTATTTCAGTCTAATGTTAGGAGATGGCTATTCTGAGTGAATGCCCTTGGCATTTCTGGCTTGAGTAGGCCTTGTTTTCATGTCCCAAGCTACCCCATTTGTTCTGCCAGACCAACCATTTCTTCACCTGTACTGTAAACTAGATGCAGAAGTCCACCAGCTTCATTTTTGTCTCTTTAGATTTAGTTCCTAAGCAGCTTTTCTTCTGAAACCAGCTAGAGATGTCCTGGCAATAGTCTAGTAATAGAATATCTAAAGTTAAAGGAATAACTGAAATAGAACTGTTCCTCATGTTGCTGGATTCCTGGATTTGGCCTGTTTTTGCAAGAAGATGAGGTGCTATTTGGGTTTTTGTTTGTTTATTTATTAGTGATAGTCATTACATTTTTGGAAGTACCCTTGTAAAAAATGTCACAACTGTTGGTAGCTTACAGATAAAGGATTATAGAAATATATTGGAATAAAGTGATGTGAAGTCATTTTCCACACACAATTCCAAGGTAATGATTATTGAAATGTAACAATTAGAATGTTTTTCGTTGAAAGCATCTGCTAAAAGAGTTATTTTTTGGTTTTAATTTCTTATAGTCGAACAAGTCAACTTTCAGTCTCAACGCTATTGGAGATGTGTAAAGGCCAAGCAGGCGAGCTGGCAGTTGGGAGAGAAATACTTAAATCTGGTAAGAACAGCTCTTCGTATATAATTGAATTATAATTACAGGCAAATATACTGAAGTGGTTTAAATTTAATACATGATTTAGCCAATATCAGCATGGCAAAGAGAACAGTATTTCTCTCAGCAGTTTGGGAGGGGGGTAATTTGGGCATGCAATGTATATTTCTGTATGATACAGTTCTGATCTTTATTTATGTGAGAATTTAGATTGTGAGCTTATCTGATCCTTATTTTATCAACTTTTTTTATAGGGTCCATTGGTATTGGTGGTGTTGATTATGTCTTAAATTGTATTCTCGGAACCCAAACTGAATCTAGCAACTGGCAAGCGCTACTGGGGCGACTTTGTCTAATAGACAGACTTCTGTTGGAATTCCCTGGTGAATTTTATCCCCACATTGTCTGTGGAGATGTTTTACAGGCTGATACCATAGTAGACAGGTACTTGCTTACACTGTTACTTTGTAGTTGAACATGGTGTTGGTGATTTCCTAAAAAAAAAAAATAGTTGTTCTAATTCCTGTGAACAAATAGTATATATTTATATGCAAAAGTGCACTTACTTTACGGAGTAAATGGTTGCCTTTTCTAAAACTTCTGATCTGTGAATCAATTTTGAAGTGTATAAAACACCTCTTTTTCTTTTTTTAGGTATAAGAAACTTCTCTCCCTCTTAACTTTCGCCTTGCAGTCAATTGACAATTCCCACTCAATGGTTGGGAAACTGTCACGGAGGGTATTTTTGAGCGCAGCAAGAATGGTGGCAAGAGTGCCCCATGTTTTTGTAAAGCTGTTAGAAATGTTGAGTGTGACAAGCTCAACTCATTATACAAGGATGCGTCGACGTCTGATGGCAATAGCAGATGAAATGGAAATTGCAGAAGCCATCCAGCTAGGCATGGAAGAAATGCACTCTGGGGATTGTCGACATGAAGACTTTTTGCAGCTACCTGTACCAGATAACTCTCCAGAAGCTACAGAAAGTAATACTCCTAACAATACTGTCCAGTTATCAGGGAAAAGCGGGAAAGGTTTAAGTGATAAACTGAGTGCCAGTCCAGAGGACATTTCTGAGACGCTGGCTGGCCTTGCTGTGGGACTTCCTCTTTCATCAGTAACCACTGAGCAACCAAAGCCAGCCATTCAAACAAAAGGAAAACCCCACAGTCAGTGTCTGAACTCTTCTCCCCCATCCAGTCATTCCCAGTCACTATTCCCAATGCTTCTGTCTCCTTCAAACCCATCTGTACCAGCTGGCACTGTAACAGATGTCTCTAAACTCAGACCTCAGGGATTCATTCCCTGCAAAATCCCCTCACCTTCTCCTCAAACACAGCGGAAACTTTCTCTCCAGTGTCAGAGAAACTGTTCCGAAAATAAAGACCCAGAGAAACTTTCTCCAGTTTTCACCCAAGCCAGGCCATTGCCATCCAATCACATACACAGGCCAAAGCCATCACGACCCACCCCAAGTGATGTGAACAAGCAGGCAGAAACGTTAAAGAACAGTATGACACTTGACCTGAATGATATTTCACAGTGTGATGGCAATAGTAGTAGTAGCAGCAGTGCAGTTATACCAAGTGATGAGACAGTGTTCACCCCAGTAGATGAAAAATGTCGATTGGATGTTAATGCAGAGCTCAATTCCAGTATTGAGGACCTACTCGAGGCCTCCATGCCCACGAGTGATGGCACAGTTACATTCAAGTCTGAAGTTGCTGTTCTTTCTCCTGAGCGGGCAGAAAATGATGATACTTACAAAGATGATGTAAATCATAATCAAAAATGCAAGGAAAAGATGGAAGGATGTAAGTATACATGTGAGAATTTAGCATAAGTCTCAGTTGAAGTTCACTGAATTTATAAAGAAGTGCTCTTATATTTCCAAAGTTATATAAAACACGAAGGTATGCAATACCCTCTCCTAGGAGTTGGAGTATAAACAGTCTGCCAGTTGAGGGTGCTAACAGAATCCTGCCATGGTTATTAACAAGTTTAAAGAAGGTATTTGGAAGAGAAACATCATGTCACGTACACCAGTCTTTAAAATGGCAAAGAAAGAGGTGTAAAAGTGGGGAAACCGGGAAATGAGAACAAAGTTTTTAAGCAGGAGTAGAACCGTAGTGAGTCTTAACACTGATTTACTTTGAAGGCAATTGTACAAAACCAAACTAGTTTCTGAAAGAAAAGACAGTTGGAAGAGATCTTCTTGTTGGCACATCTTGAGAGAGATGTGAGATACTTTAGAAGTCAGGAAAAAAGACATGTGTTTGCAAATAGACAAAAATGCAAGAAATAAGAATAGAGAAAGGAGTATTTTATTTGTGATCCTTTGCATGCGGTAGCAACATGTGAAGCATAGAATGGGAGAAATAAGTAGAAAGCAACATGATTTTGGTTGTGTTTAAGGTTTTAGTTAGCACCAATAGTAACTAGACATGATATCAGGAATAGAAAAAAAGTCTTGCTCCTATTTGTGTCCTTAAATCTTGCCTTTCACCTTCAGGTAGTAATATAGAGGAGGCTCTCTGTTCTTACATACAGTAGGAGTATGTGGATTACGGAATACACTGGTAGTCTGGTCTCAGCTGAAACATGTATAACACTCAGTACAAAGAACTGTAAGGGAGCGGAGAGGCATATAAGCTGGGATATTTCATAACCTTCCAGAATGTCTGTATTTTAGATGCATGCTAGTAAACATGGAATTGATTTGGAATTTAATTTGCAGACACCAGAAACCCTGCCTGGACATACCAAAGCAAAACACCATTACAGAGAAGATGCAGAATGGCTTAAAGGTCAGCAAATTGGTCTTGGAGCTTTCTCTTCCTGTTACCAAGCTCAAGATGTAGGAACGGGGACATTAATGGCTGTAAAGCAGGTAAACACTTCAAATGCTTCACTTTCTTGAATATATTGTGCTTGTTCGTCAATATTTCTTTGGAATATTAAATATAAAAGCTCTCTGCTCTCACAGACTTCTTGTATTCCTTGCTTCCTCTGCTCCATGTCACGTGTTCTCACATAATACATAATAAAAAGTCTTTATGTGCATGGTATTAACAGAATATTTTCAGTTTTTTCACTTCTTAAATGAAAAAAATACTTTGCCTTTTTTATATGCCTATTTTCTTTCATAGTTCTTCAAATGCATTTTCACTTTTGTCTGGTTCATAAATCAGTGACAGAGTTAGGAATGGAACCCAGATGTCTTGATTCCAAATTAGTACCCTCTTTGCATGGTAGTTATTAAAAGTAGTATCCCCTTGCTTGTCAAGACCTTTTTTTCCTAAAACAGTTTAAGTGGAGGAAATGTAGTTTAATGCTCATTTCCTCTGATCAAACAGCTGACTTTGAGGCAAGTATTTTTAATATTTAAATTAATAGGTACAGAAGTGTGACTGAGAAAAGAGGCCCAAATGCACATGCTTCACTCAAGATTTTTGAAGGTGCTAGATATGAGTAAATCATTCACACTTAAGGTGCCCTAGGTTTGAATCGGTGATACCAACATAGAGGGAATCTTAGTCTTAACTTTTTCTTATTAATTCTAGAATGAACTTACACCTATGGAATTGAGCAATTTCAAAACATTTAATCAGGGAAAGAAAATACAGAATCGTAGAATGCTTTGGGATGGAAGGGGCCTTTAAAGGTCATCTAGTCCACCCCCCCTGCAATTGACAGGGACATCTTCAACTAGATCAGGTTGCTCAGAGCCACGTCCAACCTGACCTTGAATGTTTCCAAGGATGGGGCATCTACCATCTCTCTGGGCAACCTGTTCCAGTGTTTCACCACCCTCATCATGAAGTATTTTTTCCTTATATCTAGTCTGAATCTACCCTCTTTTAGTTTAAAACCATTACCCCTTGTGCTGTCACAACAGGCCTTACTAAAAAGACTATCCCCATATTTCTTGTAGGCCCCCTTTAAGTACAGAAAGGCTGCAATAAGGTCTCCCTGGAGCCTTCTCTTCTCTGGGCTGACCAACACCAACTCTCTCAGCCTGTCCTCGCAGGAGAGGTGCTCCATCCCTCTTATGATTTTTGTGTCCCTCCTCTGGACCCGCTCCAACAGGTCCATGTCCTTCCTGTGCTGAGGACCCCAGAGCTGGACGCAGCACTCCAGGTGGGGTCTCACCAGAGCAGAGCAGAGGGGCAGAATCCCCTCCCTCAACCTGCTGGCCACCCTTCTTTTGCTGCAGCCCAGGAGACACTTGGCTTTCTGGGCTGCAAGTGCATGTTGCTGGCTCATGTCCAGCTTTTCATCCACCAGTACCCCCAAGTCCTTCTCCTCAGGGCTGCTCTCAATCCC